CCTCTGTTACCACTGTTAACTCTGTCACCTCTGTTACACTGACTGTTACCTTTGTTATAACTGTTACTTGTTTTACTTTTGTTACCTCTATAAGCCAATTCAACCATGTAATGGTATCTCAGTTAATCTACCTTTCAAATTTGTATATTTGTGCTTGTTTTATGCTGTGTCATAATTGCTTTACATATATAGATAGATCTAATAGCATTAATTCATAGATCTTTCATAAATTCCTTTTTTTATCACAAAAGTATTACATCAACCACTCTAAAACATGCAGCAAGTATATCATTATTAAAAGTAATTTTGCTAAATAAGATTGCTTACTGAGATACATCATTAGTTATAATCCATTGCTGATTAAAAACCCTGTTCCAATTTCCAAATGTATTTTTATGCTGCCTCAATACCACAAACTTATTATCATCCTATAAAGCAAGTAACACTAGCTGACAAGCTTTTATTGGTTGCCACATACATGTTACTGTGTAACTTCCGTTACTGGTAACATCAGGCATTAATATACTCCTTAAGCTCCTATATCTTGCCATGTCTACATTCCTATCGCCACCACCCTCTCTTTTTCTGTTCCTACCTTAAACCAAGTATCATAAGAGCGGAACCTTCCATGATCCATCCCTCTTGTAATATAGTCTGGCCACCCAGACCCAACTCCTGCGGGAGAAGGGTCTGGTACAATGCTTAACAAGACTTTGTGCAGAAGGAAGCCAAGAAATGTAGCTATTTATTAATTTTAATAATAGTTAAAAGCACGTGTTAATGATAATAAAGGATGCTTTTGAGTGCTATGATCAAAGTTCTCGGGAGAATGAGCTATTTGCCACTAAAAGAGGAACAAAATGACTTGCTTAACATGAGTCCGAATCGTGTTCCATCATTTCAACATTTCTTGCCTCGAACCATCGAGAGAATAAGTTCCCGACTAATACTAGGCAGGACAGAAACTCTAGCTAGTGTGTCTAGAGCTCTTCTTATGGCTTGGTTTCCACAGTCAGTGCCTTGATATTTCAGTACAACACGCCATTTTTATACTTAACAATAACTACAATGAATATTTATTAAAATAATGACATCATTATGACAAATTGAATCTTGATTGGTCACTTCGGATTTCTGACGGCTGCACAAAGTCTTGTCAAGCATTGTACAGTGCTTTGCAGGTTGCTTGACCCTGCAACTCGTTAATCACGTGACTCTCACCATACTAGTAATACATGTCACGTGAGCAGAAACTGGGTCAAGCAACCTGCAAAGCACTGTACAGGGCAACTGATAAAAGCCGGAATAGAAACCAAAGAAACACGGAAATGAAATGAAACGGAGAAATACGGAAACGGAATCAGATTATCAGACTCAGTGCGCATGCTCAATTGCTCATCATTCATCAAGTACTGAGTTTGTTGGTGTTCTCGGTGGTGTTTATCTAGCTTCTACCCTCTATGTCTCAAATTCTTAGGCTTCACAGACACAAGCAAGGACCAAAAGCTAAAAGGAGGCTATTTAGTCAAGCCCGAGGAGAAGAGAAAGTCAGTACGGCTGATTGCCAGATTTTAATACTGACCACACCTCTTTTAATTATAGGAGGAGTTTTCGAGTTTTATTAATAATTGACTTGACAAATGATTCTTGCAGTAGTAACTCTTCAAGTGATAGCGAATCTTTGGAAAGTCTTGTTTTTTCTCCTGTGAAGCCAAAGATCAAGGAGAGTCCTACTGATCTCCTTAAACAGATTATTCCTAATGTTAATGATGATGACTATCACAACACTACTGCAAGGTTCCTACCAGTTCTTGCTCGACCACTTTTAGGACTAAATGTCAATCAGTTATTTACGTTAATGCTTGGTAAAATACCAGCTGATTTTGAATTGTTTTATCAAAAAAGCAATAATAATTACTTTAAAAATAAAATAATAATGTTGCTCCGTTTCGTTTCATTTCCATGTTTCTTTGGCTTCTATTCCGGCTTTTATCAGTTGCCACT